AAACACTAACACAATTGTAGTGGGGGACCTCAATACCCCACTATCACAAATAGACTGATCATCTAGACAAAAAGTTAACAAGGAAATCCTAGAACTGAACCAAGCTATTGAACAAATGGAGTTAATAGATGTTTACAGAGTGTTCCACCCCACAAAATGGGAATACACATTCTTTTCGGCTGCACACAGTTCATTCTCCAGAATAGACCACATGCTAGCTCATAGGACATATCTAAGTAAATGTAAAAGAATTGAGGGGCCGGGGATTTAGCTCAGTGGTTTCAACGCCTGCTACGCAAGTGCAAGGACCCGAGTTCGATCCCCAGTACCAAGAAAAAAGAAAAAAAAAAGAATTGAAGTTACTCCCTGTATATTATCAGACCATTGTGCGATGAAATTGGAGATCAATAACATAAGAAACTGCAAAACCCCAACAAATACATGGAAACTGAATAACACCCTCTTGAACAACCAGTGGGTCACAGAAGTAATTAAAGAAGAAATTAAACAGTTTCTACAAGTAAATGAAAATGCCAGTACAGCATACAGGAATCTATGGGACACAATGAAAGTAGTTCTACATGGGAAATTCATAGCAGTGAATGCCCATATTAGGAAAACAGAGAAAACTCAGATAAATAACCTAATGCAAAACCTCAAGCTCCTAGAAAAAAGATGAGCACAGCAAACCCAAAGCTCACACAAGAGAGGAAATTATAAAGATTAGGGCAGAAATCAATGCAATGGAGACTAAGAGAACAATACAAAAAATCAATGAATCAAAGAGTTGGTTTTTTGAAAGAATAAATAAAATCAATAAACCTTTAGCCAACCTTATCAAAAAAAGGAAAGAAAAGGCACAAATACATGCAATTAAGAATGAAAAATGTTGTTGTATACCTACAATGTACCAATAAAAGAATTTAATACAAAAAAAAAAAGGAATGCAAAAACAGTAAGTGCCGATGAGGATGCAGGGTTAAAAGGAACCCTGCTACACTGTTAGCAGGAATGTAAATTAGCACAACCACTGTTGAAATCAGTATGGAGTTTCCTTTAAAAACTAAAAATACTGTAGAACTACCACACAACCCAAGTATTCCATTTCCTGGTATACACCCAGAAGAATCAAAGTTAGCATACTATAGGGATTCCTGCACACCTACATTTATAGTGACACAGTTCACAGTAGCTAAGTTATGGAAGCTAGATGCTCATCAATGAATGAATGGATAAAGAAAATGTGATATACATACGCATATATATACACTATATATATATATATATATATATATATATACACTAGTGGAGTAATATTCAAACACAAAGAAGAACAAAAATATGTCATTTTCAGGAAAATGGATGGAACTGGAGATCAAAAAATTAAGTGAAATAAACCAGACTCAGAGAGACTATGATCACATTTTCTCTCACAGGCAGAATCTAGGGGTCAAAAGATGATATGAAAATAGAAGAAAAATTATTATAGAAGAAGAAGGTGGTTGGAGGAATAGAAGATAACAGAGATGATGAGGTGGATGAGATCAGAGCATATATATATATATGAATAAATACACCATAATGAAACCCACTATTCTGTATAATTAATATGCACTAATAAAAAATAAGAAAACAAAACAAAAAATGCCTTTCTGATTAATAAGCTTGTTGTTGTCTAAGTAATCTTTGCCTATTTCTTTGCACTCTTCCAGAAGCATTATAATTTTATCTTTCTTAGTTTGTTGCAATTAATCTCCTTCACACCTTCAGAATGATCTATCAACACCCATGCAAGTGAGAAACCTGTTTATAGTGACAGGACCTAGAGCCCAACCCAGACCTTTATACTTAATCACAGTCATTTTCCAAGTTTAAGATACACTGAGTTTCCCAGAATGTAACTCCTGTGTAAATTTTTTTTATTTATATATTAATTGGTACATTTTAGGTATACAATACATTTACATTTATCATTGGGTGTTTGTGCCTGAACATGATGTATCTTAGTTCTT